GGGATGCAGATTGGCCTTCCCAGTCAGTTACCAAAGTCTTCTACAGTTGTAAAGAGGCAGTTCCTAAAGGGAACAGATGCAAAACAGGGAGTGGCAGGGACCAAGAAAACAAAAGCAAATCTTATTGGCTACTATAGAGACCTTGTATAGGCTTTAATGATTTTCATAAAGACCTGGGTAACTGGATGATTTGCATTTCTTAAAAAGTGTCTAAAGGTCTGGGCCAAATGGCTGCAGCGCTTGGAAAGCACTCCCTCTTCTAGCAATCCAGGAGAGCCATGCTACTGTTTGATTACAAAGTGTTTGTTTAGGAGGGACAAAATGTTATTATGAAGACTACCATGTGATCTAAGCGGGAATATCTTTGTTAAGAATAGGTGGACCCTTTTGTTGCAGTGAGTGATCAGAGTGTGTGGACCCAAGGAATTTTATTTCACCGTTAAAAATCTGGATTGTTTTCCCTGCTATCTACCCAAATAGTGTTTGCCACTGAAGTCTTTGCACACATGCTGTGCATTGTCCCGTTTTCATCCACTGGAAAAGGTGGGGAAGCTGCTCACAAAAGCTGGCTGCATGCTTTGATCACTGCCTTTCTTCTCCCAAAAGTCCTCACCTGCTTTCAGCACTGTGTTGCTATCAGAAAATTTAAAATGTTGCTGTGGATCTACAAGAAATACTAATGAATGAAGAGGAGAATCTAGTAGATAATAAAGATGATTAGAGCTTCTAGGCAGGCATTTGCTACCAAGGAGATGAAATAAAGCATTTAATTACTTAGAGACATTTAAAGAGCAATTGGTCTTAGGCATTTCCTTGCTCAATGCATTCGAAATCTTAGCTAGCTTAGATTTTACCTCAAAGAATTTTGATTTTTTTTCTTTTAGGTCTGTCAATAACAGCAAGGAGGTCATTAGCATAAAGTATTTGAAAATTTCTTTTCTTTTTAAATCATTTGTCTTTGTTACTTCACTCCTTATACATAAAGTCACAAATGCTATATTCCAAATCACGTAGAATTTATCGAAAATTTGAATTGCATAACTTCTGTGGCATTATGTCACCATGAAGTTAAACTTCAGTGAGGATATAATATTTTCCCCAAGCAAAGAAATAAAAATTGAATCTTATTTTAAAAAGTAAATGACTCTAATATTTCCTTGACATATAGCTCCAGAACTTTCCCTAATTTTGATATGTGCATGTGTTTCACTGCAGTGAACATCTTTTTACTAAGGGGTAGCAGAATATGCCTCCCAAAATATGCCACTTTGGCATAAAGATTACTTTGAGCTAAAGGCACTTGAAAAACAGCAGATGCACGAAGGGCATTCTAGTCTCCTCTTTTCTTCCTGGGAATAGGAGATTAAAAACTCCCATGTGCAAAATGCCTTTCCGGTACCAGCAGAAAAGAAACATTATTCCATGGGGAGCCTTAGCCAAGAGAATTCTGTACAAACAAACCTTGTTAAAATAATTATCTTCCCTTAGACTCCCCATATAATTTACTCATTTTCCACAACTACTTCTCTTTGTTCAAATATAAAAGGATTTAGGTTTTTCTACTTCTCTATATCATCATTTCCTTATAAGAGCTCCAATGACATGTAGTACTTAAATATGTACATTTTTGCCGGGTACGGTGGCACACGCCTGTAATCCCAGTGGCTCAGGAGGCTGAGACTGGAGTTCAAAGCCAGCTTCAGCATGCAGTGAGACCCTGTATCTAAATAAAATACAAAAACAGGGCTGGGGATGTGGCTCAGTGGCTGTGTGCTCCCTGGTACCAACAAAACAAAACAAAGTACTCTTTTTCTCCTGTTAATCTGTCTCATACCAATTTAATTCTCAGGTCTAGCTGGCACTCTTAAGAGGGTAAAGTTTTGCTTCCCCTATACCGCATACAACTTTGTGTAGCACTCGTAATATTTTCCTTAACATAAAGTCCCTAGAAAGAAAAAAAAAATATATTATCAACTATTCTGCCAGGTGTTAAGTACTTGACAAACCTATCTCAATCCTCTGAAGCCAGGATTAGTGGTCTCATTTTATTGATCTGGAAACCAAAACTTGGGGTATTGGTAACTTTCCCAGTGTCAGAACAGGTCTCTAATCTAGAGCCATTTGATTCCAAAGCTTTTACTTCTTCAAGAACACCGTTGTCTATGTTCTCTTTGCCTGTTTCTCCACTTGTGAGAAGAGAAATTCAATAAACACACATGCCTCCATGAGTTGTTTGGGGGAGTAAATGAAGCAGTACCTGAAGACCACTTGAAAGAAGATCTGAACCATAGTTACCTTTGTAAAACCATTAGCCATTGTAATTTATACATACTATTAACTATTAATGTTATTACCACCCCAATTTCTACCCAAACATGCATGACTTTCAGTGTTAAATCTGAAGTAGAATGTGGGTTTGGGTGACTTCCCCATGCATTATCTAAATTTCAATCTAATGCTATCCACCTTTGTAGAATCATTAGCTGTTATTATTTGTATTTATTGCCACAATTTCTACCCAAAATATTCAGGTCTCCCAGAGTGAGGTGGAATGTGGTTTTAGATGTCTTCCCATGTATTATATAAACCTCATTTTATCATTTATGCCTGTGTTTTTCTCACCCTCACTCTTCTGGACAGTAGACAGGTGTTTTCAGACTGAAAACTGTTATCTTTTCTCACCTATTTTGAGTAATGACAGTCTATCTGAGCAAGGGTGCCACTGACAGGCCCTTTTGACTTACAGTCAAAGGGTAGCCTAACCAATTGAACTACTTAATAGTTTAAGTGAATACCTTAACAAGAAAGCATTGAAATACCAGACTAATTATTGACAACAGCTCTTATCTTATTTTTAATTTCTCCCCTGTCCCTTGGTTGCTGAAATTATTTGACTCAAGTTACAAATGGACTGGTCTGGAAGTAGCTTTTGCAGAATTAGATTGCAGGAGGCTTAGTTGAACTTAAGTACAAATTGTAATTTTAAAGGAAACTGAAGCAGACAAATTCTTACTGTAAAATAAAATGAATGCTACTATGATATATTTTTATTAGTAGGCCTCTGACTTAGTTTGTTTCATGTTGTTATAAAAGAATACCACACAGTGAGAAATTTAGAAACAATGAAATCTTATTTGGCTCATGGTTTCAGAGGCTGGGAGGTCCAAGGTTCTAGGGCAACATCTAGTGAGGACCTCTTGCTGTGTCATAACATGGTGGAATGTATCACATGACTGAAAGAGTACACTTGCAAGACAACTGAACTTGCTTTAATAACAGACTTGCTCTGGAAATAACTAACCCATTCCAGAGATGACACTAATGCATTCATGAGGACAGAGTCTTCATGATCTAATCACATATCAGGCCCAATTATCCAACACTGTTACACTGGGGGTTAAGTTTCCAACACTTGAACTTTGGAGACACATTCAAATGACAGCAGCCCCTGTCATTAAGATTGACATTTGAGAACATAATGTTGTATCTTGTGTGGAAGAGAAAGTTATTACTCATAGTTTACTAGATTTTAGCATGTTTGCATCACAACATGGAATATGATTTCACATTTACTACTGCAGTTCCAGTACCATTATCAGACTGCATTTTCATATTGAATTACAAAAATTTTATGCTACTTACATTTAATGAAATTTTAATAAGGTTGTTGTGTTTTGATGTTATTATTCAAATAATGTGTTTTGAATTGCCTTCCTTTGAATATATTTGCATTAAAGAGGAAATCAATTTGATTTAGTTCTTTGAACAGTTTACCCAGGTTCTGGGTAGCTTTAAAAAGACAAAGAGGGAAATTCAGTTCCTTCTTTGCAAGTCAGTAAATAGAGAAGCACATTTACTAAGATCAGTAGAAGTAATGGCAGCAGATTGCTGATGGTTCGAGTTAATGAAATGACTCTTCCACTATTAGAGTTGCACAATTAAAAATATACAAAGTGCACACACCATGGATTGTAAGGGATTATACCTCTGTTCTTCTCTTTTCTTTTTGAGCCCTAAGGCTAATATATATAAGAATTAACAAATTTAGGGGGTTCAGCTGTAGAGTGCTCGCCTAGAGCGTGTGAGGCCCTGGGTTCGATCCTCAGCACCACATATAAAGAAAGAAAGAAAGGTATTGTGTCAATTATAACTAAAAAATTAAAAAAGAAATCTAGGAACTTCACATTATTGAAATTCTTGACCATGAATGCCCCAAATTAAATGGTAATCTCTTGAGAGAGCACATTTCTCTTCTTGTAACATTCCACTCAGCCATTTCTGTTAAAATTGTGGTTGTGGGTCTGCACTTTTTTTTTTTTTAATACTCATTTAACCAAGTTAATTATTGGCAAAAGTGGATCCTGCTTTTGTGGATGGGTTTCTCCTGGCAGTCTAGCTAATGAAGTGTAACAGCGAAAATATAAATAAAGAAACCGGGAAGAAATATTGCTTTTGAGGAAAGCCTGACTTACAGACCTGAAAGGAAGGTAGACAGTAATTCTATTATCAGGAAGGTGTGAATTTGAGCGAGGAAAGGTAGAAAAACTACGAGTCCTTTGGGTCTTTTATGTGCGCATTTAATGTAGGAATAAATACTTTACTTCCAGGCTCACTTTCCTCTTCACCTTATTTTTCCCCAAAATTTATTCTTTGAGTTTCCTCCGTTTACAAACATACCCGAGTTTAGAACTCAGTATGGCCTATAAAACATACCAAAGTATGTGTGGCCTAAAAGTTGGTCGCACCCTTGCCTGCAAGTTTGGGTTCTTGCTTTCTATTTGTATGACTTGAAAAACACAGCACACAATAATGACCGAAGTGGTGGCTTGGACCTAGGGACTGCAGAAGCCTCCCCTCTCCGCATGCGCAGTAGCCATGCAGCCACCCTCTAAGCCCCAGCAGACAGCCCCATCCCTGGCATGGCGCTCTGGCTCCGCCGATGCTGCGCGCGCCTTCTGGGGCCCCGCCCAGGCCGCGCAGGCGCGCCTGGTTCGGACCCACAATTCCTGCCTCTTCCGCCGGTTACGGCGAGCGTTCCTCTGTCCGCTGGAGTCTGAGCTGGCGTCCGGCTCCGGTTGCTTGGTGACATGTTGCAAAAGCCAAGGAGTCGGGGTCGCTTTAGTTCCCCGGCGGAGAAAGACAGGGATTCGGGCCGCGGCGGAGACGTCCGGGCCCAGAGAGGCGGCGTCCCGGAGGAGACCCCGAGCACTTCCCGCGGCCCGGCGGGCTCTCAAGAGACCCAAGGCACTTCCTCGCAGGGCGCTCGCCGGTCCCAGGCCGCCCCCACTGTGGGGCCTCGGACCCAGAAGCAGCTGGAGCTGAAGGTGGCGGAGCTGGTGCAGTTCTTGCTGATTAAGGACCAGAAGAAGATTCCTATCAAGCGGACCGACATACTGAAGCATGTCATCGGGGACTACAAGGACATCTTCCCGGACCTCCTCAAACTGGCTGCGGAGCGCCTCCAGTACGTCTTCGGGTACAAGCTAGTGGAACTTGAGCCCAAGAGTAACACCTACATCCTGATCAACACCCTGGAACCAGTGGAGGAGGATGCCGAGGTGAGAGGCGATCAGGGCACTCCCACTACGGGCCTACTGATGATTGTTTTAGGGCTCATCTTTATGAAGGGCAACACAATCAAGGAGACCGAGGTCTGGGACTTTCTGCGTCGGTTGGGGGTGTACCCCACTAAGAAGCATTTAATCTTTGGGGATCCAAAGAAACTCATTACCGAGGACTTTGTGCGACAACGTTACTTGGAGTACCGGCGCATACCCCACACGGATCCCGTGGACTACGAATTCCAGTGGGGCCCGCGAACCAACCTGGAAACCAGCAAGATGAAAGTTCTTAAGTTTGTGGCCAAAGTTCATAATCAAGACCCCAAGGACTGGCCAGCGCAGTACTGTGAGGCTTTGGCAGATGAGGAGAATAGAGCTAGACCTGAGCCTAGTGGTCCAACGCCATCCTCTTGAAATCAGGGATGGATTCAGAGAGACTCCCAGGACAAGGGTCTGTGACCCAAAGGCACAATACTGAAAGAATAAGGGAAGGGGGTTTGGAAGGAGGATGTTTCTGCAACGCTTGAATGTATGTAGCTTTAGGATGTGTTGCAAAGGTTTGTTCCTTTAGTGTTAGTACAGTTCCCAATTTTCATTTAAAACACAGAATCATTTTTGTTTTAATGTCATTTTTTTGGTGTGAAAAGTTTGCTAACTTTGTAAAACTTTTGGGAAACTGTACTGTGTTCTAAAACAGATATTTAAGAAGAACACAAGTAAATTGTTTTGATCCCCCCCCCCCCAAGGAGTTATTGTCTGGTTTCTGAACTACCCTAGTTTGTAAGGAAAAATAAAAGCCTTTATAAAATTACAAAGATGTAATTGCCTATATCCTTATTACTTTAACCCAAGTGTTTTATATTTATGTTTTTCATATATATATATATATATATATATATATATATATATATATATATATGCATTATGCATGGTTCCAAGCAATGTACATAATGTATTTTCTGTGAATAACAATTTTTTTATATTCTTAATTATTACTTAACTCTGTTGCTGACCTTGATTTCATTGTTTTCTCTTTTTTTTTTGCTACCATCATTGTTTTAATAAATATTGTGATTTTGAGCAGTTAACCATTATGTATTTTTAAAAGCCCATGTCTTGAGGAGATTTTTATGACTCAAAACCAGCATCTTTAAAAGATTTTGCTACATATTATTGAAGTAAATAGTGTTCTGTAGAAGTTGTTGTGTTTGTGTGTGTGTGTGTGTTGGATTGTGATGTAAAATAATTTCTCATTGAGTCTCCCAAAAGTTCATAAAACAGTGGCTTGGTGATTAACCATGCCTGCTTTGGGAATTGGACTGCCTGGGTCCACCACTGTGAATTTAGGTAGGTTCTTTAGCTTGTAGACAGACCTATTTTAACCTATAAAGTGGGCTTCTGATTTACATGTTCTGTATGCCAATGTGATTAGTAGGTAAGGAAGTTTACATGAAATTTCAGGCAAAGTTTCTAGTGTGGAGGATTATAGTTGTTACTTCTTAATTAAAAAAAACATTTTTATTTTTCTGGGTCTGGAGCTGCTATTACTGGCTTAAAATTATGGTTGTATTCTTCTACTTGGATTCCAATGAATGGTTTTATGGGAAAAATGTAACCTGAAATATGGTGAATTCAGCCCATGTAGAACTTTCAGAAAGAGCAAGAAATTTAGATGAAAATCTCTGCTGGGCTTTGAGAAATCGTTGCATTATAGTACAATGAATTGATGGATCTTGAGGTCTCCTGACAAACTGAATGATGGCTCCTACTAACTTGTTAGCATGGTGGTTCGGGGGGCAGAATTTAAGCTCTCAATCTCAATTTCTTTATCTATAAAATGGGAAAAATAATTATACTGTAGTTATATCAGTTAAATGAGCCAAAAGAGAGTTAATAGTCTCATTGTATTTCTCCATAACAGCTAGCCAAATGGTGTTTATATACAAAGATTCAATACATATTTTATTCAGTGAGCGAATAAGTATAATTGTTTTGAGGGAAGTTTCTGCAGATTAACCATTAAATGAAGTAAATGCTTTCACTTAGGAAAACAAACAAAAATAGGTAAACTTTTTTTACCTAAACATTGTTACCTATGTCTGTGCTGACAAATGTCATCTACAAGAATCTATGGTGGATATGAAATTGTTTGAAGAAATATGAGAGATTACTGGGGTTTATTTCATTCTGTAGAAATTAGATTTACATTTATTTCATTCATAAACTACAGTTGGTCCTTGAAGTCATTTCTTCCTGGTATGCATTTTATTTCAGTATGTAAATGACCTGCCTACTGTTCTCCTTACCTCACCAGCTATGACCTCCTTGTGTGCTCTGGTACTAAGTTTTTGTGTGGCAAAAATTACCTTCACCAGCACCCACTAACAGTTTTATCTGAGACAGTGAATGCTGGGTAATGATAACTATATCACAGTTTCCTCATCTAGATGTTAATAGTTTTATACTTAACCTGTTATTTTGTTTCAGATTACAAAATACAAACATTAGAGACAGGATCAGGCACTTATTTCTTTTTTATCTCACCCTTTCCACAGATAACAAGTCTGGATATCATGCCATTGTATGGTTTTATAATTTTACTATATATGTAAAAAAAAATAGTTTTGTGGGCTTTTACAGTTTATATAAGAAACATTGTTACCTTTCACAACTTGCTCTTTCCATGCACCATTATGTTTTATCAGTTTAGACATGTAGCTACATGTTAACATGATTCATTTTAGCTGTTCTTTTATGGGGGAAAATAATAGTTTATCTTTTCCTTAATGTTAATAAGACTGTTAGATTCTTTCCTGTTTTTTAATATTTGCAGACACTGTGCAGTGCTTCCTTAGGCCAGAAATAAGTAAAGCAATCAAGGTCATTGCCAGATGTCTTTTAAGCTCCAGCATTTTATGTAGCATTTTCCTTCTTTTGTTGCCAATAACCACCATCCTGAAACCTTTATGATACTTGGCCAGTTCAGCCATCCTGGTGGGTATGTAATGATACTTGATTGTGGCATTAATTTGAACCTCTTGCTTAATTAGTGATGTGAGACATCTTTTGCTCTCATTGACCGTCAGGTTTCATTATCTGTTCACTATTTTTCTATTTTTAATTATTTATTCTTCACACGTTCTGCATATTAATTCATGTATCCTATTGCAAATGCCATCTACATTTCTGTTTTTTTTTTCTTTTGTCATACAGATGGTTTGACTTCAAATTATTTTAAGGGCAGTATTTTTAATAGAGTGCTTTGAAAACTTCTCCCTAATCCTAGTAATTATAAAGATTTTTCAAAATATTTTTCTAATCCTAATTATTTTTTTCCAAGTGTGCAAAGTTTTGATTTCCACCTGTTTTTAATCTGTTCTTATGTGAGGTATAGACGTAAATATTCTTCCTGTATGGATAGACTAGCACCAGGTTTTCAGCATTTACCCTTTCCATACTCACTTGTAACACTGTCTCATTTATATAGAAATGCTCCAAATATAAATAAATTTATGGTCATGGCTGAATAAGTTTGGTATCTTCTTGTTCATACCTTGTTATTATAATTTTATAGCATTTATAATATAATGTTAATTTCTAATTTTAATACTGATTTTTTTTAACGTTGCTTTTATGTTGGTTGGAATCACTGTATATTGTCAAAGCGGTGACAGCAGACCTCACATGCATTGCTTTTTCTTATTTCTGATTTTGAAAGGACTAATTTTTAAATTTTTTTCCAATGTGATACTTGGTATTAGGTTTTTTCCTATAATTACCTTTAACTGGGTTACTTAATTTCCTTTCTATTTCTAGCTTAGAGATATCTATAAAAATTATGAATGACTTAAAACTTGTCATATACTCATTCATTAATATGATTAATATTTTTTTTATTTACTCAAATAGATTTTTCTAATTTCTAACTATTGTATTCCTGTCACAAATACTTATTGTTTATGATGAATTGTTTTAAATACATTTTTTTTTTCTGGCTAAAATTTGATAGTTTTTGTATCTTTTGACATAAAGGGGATTTGACTGAAATGCTTCTACATTTTTATTATTGGGTTTTGAGTTTAAGCCAAGTTCTTTAGAAATAATCTCAAACTTAACGAAAAATTGCAGACACAAATTTGAGTTCATCTAATTGTTTGTTTCTGTCTTCAAACAGTTACTTTAGTGTTTGGCGTTCATAATCTTGGCAATTGAAGTATATGGGCCTGTTTTGTTGTTTTGTAGAAATCCCTCAGCTGGAATTTGCTGTGTCTTTATGATCAAATATGAATTATATATTTTGGCAAAAATATCACAGAAGCAATGGTATGTTACCCTTTCTATTGGAAGATACAAAATTTCAAGTTGTCCTTGTTATTTTGTAATTGTTCACTTTGGTTAAGGGGATTTTTCTGCCATGCTTCTCTACTGTGAAATTTTAATCTCCCCTTTTATAATAAAAAAGTAACCTGCATGGAGATACTTTGAAATTCTGTAATTATTGGAGTCTTCATCAAAATTTTAATTTGTTTACCTATTTTGTCCATATGGACCCATATGTTATTTTCTTTTGTTTTCATTATACACACACACACACACACACACACACACACACACACACACACTCAAATGGCCCTGATTTGGCTAGGGAGAACTCCTTAAGCTGACTTTTATATCTTAAACATACCCCTTTAGACTTGGAGGACTTTCTTACATTCTCGCAGAAAAAATCCATGCAGCCGATGTTAAACATTCCCTGTCCCAGATTAGGAGTTATCCATTTACTTCTCTTAGAAATTTTATTCCTTTTGATGGAGAATGGAATTTAGAAACAAGGTTGCTAGGTTTGTTCATACCTATTGGAAGTATTTTGCCCAGCCCTCTAGGTCACAGAGTAAGGGGAGACCCTTCCATCTATCATCTGTGAAAACAGAAAACTGATGTTCTATCCAACACTACAGTGTTCATTCTAGATCTCTCCTTTTCCATGTTTGTAGATGTCTTCAAAAGTAAGAAACTCAGTTCCTATTTTCTTTAGCATATTTACCTGTTTTATCAACTCCCTATAAATAACTAATCTGCTATCCTAGCTGTCACATCCTCCCACATATGGATGTCCTCTTCTGGGACTATTATGTTCCCCAGGACTTCCTGTTTGCAGGACCTTTCTTATAAGGCTGGGACTCCCCTCAGGACATGCATTTTCTCCACTGTAAATAGAAACGCTTTGGTATCATAACTGCATTGGGAAATTCCTTTAGCCATATTTTGTGAGGATTAAATATTTTAGAAGTTTTGGAAGAAAGCTACCTGTTTGAACAGGCTGTGGTCCTGGTGCTTTTTTATATGTAGATTTTTTTAAATACTGGTTAGATATCATTAATAATATCTTTAACTTTTCTACTCTTCTAATTAGTTTTAGTCACTTGTATTTTTAGAAAGTGTTTGCATTATTTTCTGATTTATTAGCCTAAAGTATTTCTTAGTATTTTCCTTTGATGTAGAAATAATTCTATCACATATTTACTCATAAACATTCTCAGTATTATTTTTTGCATTATCAGAATTATTTTGCCTTCTATTTTTTAATAGATCCAATCTTGTACAAGTTTGATTTATTTTATGAGTAATCAAGAAAACTTTTTTGTTATTGATTTGTATTGATTTCCTTTTTATTTTTATTTTCTTTTTACTTTTTTCTGCTTGACAGAAAATTGGTTCTTTTTCTTGACTAGAGATATAATGCATTGATTTTCAATTTCTAATTCATTTTAGGCAATTTATTTCCTTCTATTTGCAATTTTACTCATATTACACAAGATCTAATATGGAGTTTTGTTGTTATATTAATTCTAAATATTTTCTGTTATCTGGTTTGATTTATATTAGATACATAATTGGACAGGTGATTTACTTTTTTTTCAACTACTTGAATATTGAAGAACTCTTTGTTGTTTTGGCATTTGAATTTATTAAATTGCTTTGAGTGAGATAAAATGGTCCAAGTAAATCAATTTTTAAAAAATTTGATATGATCTTTGATCTAATATTTTAGTCAATTTTTATATGTTCCAAGTGTTCTTTTAAAAAGTGGATATGTGGGGTTGGGGATGTGGCTCAAGCGGTAGCGTGCTCGCCTGGCATGCGTGCGGCCCGGGTTCGATCCTCAGCACCACATACCAACAAAGTTGTTGTGTCTGCCGATAACTAAAAAAATAAATAAATATTAAAAAAAAAAAATAAAAAGTGGATATGTATTTTCAGTATTTCCATTTATGTCCAGTACCTAAGTCTTGTTGTGTTGTTTAAATATTAGGTGTTCTTTACATTTTTCCTGCCTAATAAATCAATTTTTGAAGAATAGTAAAAATCTCTCATGATTTTGTAAAATTCTTATGTTAGTTTTTCCTTTATATATTTTCAAGTTTTATTTATAGAGAAAAAACAGATCTAACACTGTCAGATGTTTCTGGAGACTTGCTTCTTTTAGACTGTATTTTTACCTAGTAATGCTTTTTGTCTTAAATTAGTATATCAACATATCTTCTCCAGCCTTCTTCTATTGTTTTTTGGGGGCTGGAGCTCAGTGCACTTGCTTACCATTGTAGTTCGATTCTCAGCACCACATATAAATAAAAAAAAATAAAGATCAACAACTAAAAAATTTTAAAAAAATTAAAAAGATGTATCCTAATATGTCTTTACAGCTCATTTAAATTTTTAATAAGTAATATATTAGATTTTAATCAGTAACATATTATTGCAACAGAGAAAAAAAATCCAGCATGAACTGAACTTAACTCTGGTTCATAGAGTTGATTGGCATTTTGAAGGAAGAATCAGGGAGTGGGGAAGAGAGTGAACAGGTGAAGGTGGGCTGCAGAGTAGTCAAGAAGTGAGGAATTAGAAAAAGCAGGGGGCCTGGTGCGTCTGAAACCCATGTGTGGTTGTTAACTGGTGCTTATAGTTAGGCTGCTGCCCTTGTAGAGAGGCTGGAAGATGGTGGATCTTTAGGTGTTGGCTGGAACAAACTATAACGTGGCAAGCTTGAGTTTATTCAGAAAGGCACTTTAAGAGGGGGGGGTCCCATCCTACAGATGTGGCCTTGATCCTCTAGAAACATTTTTTTATATAGTCAATTGATTAAAAAAAAAATCTTTTTACATACAACACCAGGATGTACCCTGACATAATCACAGAAGCATAGAGCACAACCTGCTCTAATTTAGGGCCGGGCACTCCCCCTCTCTCCCCACACCACCTGCTCCCCTCCCACATTTTTATAGGCCAAGGTTGAGGCCTAATTGAGAAGAGGGCTCAGGGGAGGCTGACAGAAATTGATCAAAGAGGGACTCTTTGGTACATTGTTATGCATAATTGTTTCCCATAGCTTTCTTAGGCTATGTTAATTTCTCTTCATGTTTTTCTGTTCCTCAGACCAGCTAATATTCAATTGCCCATATTTGTCGCTTTCCCAGCAACTTAAACACTCAGACCTTTTGCCCACCCAGGGACACCAATTGCAGGGTTATTTGCGATTAAAACACTCAGGGGTCACTTCATGGGAATAATTGGGCTGCGCAAAGTAACCACACAAGAGACACAAATACCTTTTTCTTTGGGGTTACTGTGACAGCTCCTCTGACCTTAAGGGTCCGAAGAAATTGAGAGAGAGAGAGCCCGCACGTGCTGACCCTTTTTATTGAGGAGAAGCTATTCAAATGAGGCAAGGGGTCAGGTTTCAAGGGGCTGAGTCTAGCTTCATGATGTCTGCTATCAGCAGGTTGACTGACATCTAAGTAGGTCACACCTAAGGCACAGTAAGAGAAGGGGACACACAAAAGGTATTTCCATGTAACATTTTATCCCAAACCGGGCAAGGGGTAATATTACAAAGGAACAGGTGAGCATAGCTCCACCCATGGGGCTGTAGGAAGGCACACCCATGCACGAAGACACAGTCACTCAAACCCTAGAAGACCTGGGCTATCTAGCAGCGTGGCCATATTCTCCCATATTCACTGATTCTTGTGACTCTTCACATCAGCAGATAAACTCTTCTCATGAGTGTATCATTTCAGTTGTACTTTTTACCTATAGAATTTCTATCAATTTTCTTTCTATGCTCTATTGATATAACCTACTTGTTTATGTATCTTTCTCCTGATTTCCTTTGTTTTTTGCCCATGATTTCTTCAGCATTTTGAGTGTGTTTCAGATGGCCAAAATTCCCCATAATGGGGTAGGGAAGGGGGGAGCATGGGAGGAATAGAAGAACTCTAGATAGGGCAGAGGAGTGGGAGGGAAAGGGAGGGACAAGGGGTTAGTAAGGATGGTGGAATGTGATAGGCATCATTATCCAAATTACATGTATGAAGATACAAATTGGTGTCAACATACTTTATATACAGAGATATGGAAAATTGTGCTCTATGTGTGTAATAAGAATTATAACGCATTCCACTGTCATGTATTTTAAAAATAAAATCAAATATTTTAAAAAATAAAATTTTTAAAAAGTTTTAATGGTCTAATATCTGAGCTTCCTTAGGGATGCTGATTATCGATTTCTTCTTTTTCCCCATGATAGATCATAGTCATATACTTCCCTGCTTGTTTCTGTTTTTTTTTAATTTATTTTTTTGTGTGGGGTTTTTGTTTGTTTGTTTTGTTTTGTTTTTGTATACTTCATAATTTTTGTGTTGGGGATTTGGGCATTTTGAATATTGTAATGTTAGAACCTGGACATCAGATTATCCTCACACTCTTTAGTGGACTCCTGGATACTGCTTTATAAGAGCTGTAACCATCCATTTGATCAATGGTTTTCCAAACTATTTTTGAAAAGACATCATTCTTTGCTGTGTATGTTCTGTTCACTAAAGTCAGTCCTATTATCTCTCTGGTCATCCAGTGACCTCACAGAGATTTCTGTGAATGCTCAGCTCTTTCATCACCCACCTCTCCCCTACATGCTATCAGTGTCCCAAGAAGATTCCTGAGTTATGAAGCTGCTGATTCAAACAGTTCTTTCCTCAAAAGTTGCTTCATCAGTAGGACCAATTACTGGAACAATGGAATATTAACGAGTCTTAAAAGGAAGGTAATTCTGACACTTGATACCACATGGGTGATACTATGCTGAGTGAAATTAGTCAGTCACAGAAGGACAGATATTTCATGAAATGATTCCCCTTACAGACCATACACTGAGTCAGACAACATCATAGAGATCTAGAGCTAGAGATAGTCACCATTCCTAGAAGACAGGTGGCTTCCAGGAACAGGGAGGAGAGAGAAACAGCCAGCTACTGTTTATTGGTACATAGTTTCAGTTTGGGAAGATGGAAAAGCCCTGGAGTAGTGGTGGTGATGGTTCCGCAACAGTACGTATGTGCTTAATGCCACTGAGCCCTAAGCTTAAAAATTCTAAGAATGGTAAACTTCACGTTGTGTATACTTTACCTCAGTTTTTAAA